GCAACGAGAGAATCGCAATGCGAAATGAAAATCGCAATGCGGAAATGAAAATCGCAATGGGAGAATCGCAATGCGATTTTAATTTCGCATTGCGATTCTCTCGTTGCGATTTTCATTTCGCATTGCGATTTTCATTTCACATTGCGATTCTCTCGTTGCGATTTTCATTTCGCATTGCGATTTTCATTTCGCATTGCGATTATCTCGTTGCGATTTTCATTTCCGCATTGCGAAATGTAATGGTTGATTTTGTTGATTTCAATCTGCATTATGTTGAAGGCAAAATTGACTATCGCAATGCGAAATGAAAATCGCAATGCGAAATGAAAATCGCAACGAGAGAATCGCAATGCGAAATAAAAATCGCAACGAGAGAATCGCAATGCGATTTTCATTTCGCATTGCGATTCTCTCGTTGCGATTGTAATTTCCGTGTTGCGATAGTCAAATGCATGCCTAATAGTGATAACAACTGAATAACAAGAGTTGGTTAAGTCAAAATGGTTGGCCTGAGTCATTAATTCAACTGAAAATGTTAAAAGTTCACACATAAAATCCACATAATACAACGTTTGCATTTAAAAATCACCTAAGTTAACAGTCCCAAAAGGTGAAGCCAATTGTGATTGGGATTTTGAAGATGGTTGCCTTTTGCTTGACACCATATGAGCTTTGGATTTTGATGAGGATCCATATTTTGGTAGAGGAAAAGATGATTTTGATGGCACTGGTGATCCACATGTAACCTTGTATGACCACTTTCCTTGCACCGACTACATGTCGATCTCTTCTTCTCTTCACCCTTAGACGGTATACGATCGTGACTTTTTGGTCGGCCAGGTAGCCTTCTGTCCATGGCTGGTGGCAAAACTGTTTGTAAGTCATCTGGTATGTCCCACTCAGAAGGATGTGGAATAGGGTAGACAATCTCGGCATAAGTCTGTCGATAAACTTCTGTAGTGTAGCAATCCATAGCGTATGCGCTTGAATCATCTTGGTTTAAATGAAGAGCAACTTTTATAACATGGCCACACGGATAACCAGATGTTTGCCATTTCATACAACTACACGTCTTTGCATTTAGATCGACTAGCCCATTTAAGTTATTATCCAGTACTTGAAACAAAGTGTTTGAACATGGTTCAACTCTCCATGACGTTGACTTCACAACACGTTTCGTTATTTTTTTCAGTCCATGGTGTAACACGATGTTCCAATGTTCCTGTAAATTTAAATAAACAATACTTAGTAAAATATATAAATATGATAAGTTACGAATTCAAAGAAATAATACTGCATGGTTTCTTTTCTTGTAGTACCACTGTTGAATAGAGGCTCGAAAAAACTCCATTAACATAGTAATGGGTAATTTCCGGGAATGACGACTTAGAGCGTTGATTGATTCTGCACTATTAGACGTCATGAAACCATATCTTGCTCCAAGTTGATGTACTCTTGACCATCTTTCAAACCCGACATCTTCTAGTGTTTGAGCACACTGAGGCAAAACACGTCTTAAACAATTTATATGCTTATTGAAATCCACTTCCCGATAAGCTTTTACAGCCTTCCAGTATGTCCATTTGTGCTTTTTTATACCAGCAGACCTTGATTTTAGATTTCTATACAAATGAACACCACAAAGTCCATGAAAAGCATCTGGGAAACACCTTCTAACAGCGTTGTCAATTGAGTTTGCCCTATCGGATATGATTGTCAGATTGCTAATAGGACCTATGCAATCCCTAAGATGCCCCATAAACCATGTCCATGAATCAGAGGTTTCAGATTTGCCAACCCCGTAAGCTATTGGCAATATCCCATTGTTAGCATCCATGGCTACTGCTAATAAGTTTACTCCAAGGTATCGACCTTTCAAATGTGCTCCGTCAACTATAATAACTGGGCGCATGCAAGTAATAAACGAACGAATCTACAAAATAATATACACAAGAAATATAATCATTTAAATGTGAAATGCATGTAACTAACAAAAATGAGTCAACAAAATTATATTGATTTACTAACCGTAGCACCAATGGCGATAAACAGCAACTCAAAGCGTCCATCTCTATCTGTTTTGATATGAGTTACCGACCCAGGATTTTTCAGCTTTAAATTGTGACAATAAGCCGGCAGTTGGGCAAACGATGCTTCTGGCGACCCCCTCAACAATTCCAAGGCATAACATTTGGCTCTCCAAGCTTGAGAATATGATATACTAATCTTGAACCGAGCATTCATGTCAGTCATAATTTCATGTCCCCGATATACCCTGCCATTCAAAACATTAACTCAGCCAGAAAACCACCCAACACCTTTTTGTTTGCTGTTATGGTGAGGAAAAACTTGGGTTCTTGAACATGTATGTTTATCAATAAAAGTCCTAACTTGAAACATTTTGCAATCTTTTATTCTCTTTGCAATCATACGCCACGTACAGTTTTTGTCAATCATACACCTTGTTTCGAAACGATCTTTGCTTGATTTGTTAACTTTTAGTTGATAGCCATCTTCCACACATTTCGTATACAAAGCTATCTTCAAGTCTTCCTTTGTATCAAAACAATCATCTTTCTTGACACGAATAACTTTTGTGTAACAATCAACTGCTTTCTTTGCCAACTCTTCTTCCGGTAACTGAAGTAATTCTGGCATATTCCAGTTATACTCCCGTGGCATTTTCTTTTCTTCGGGGACTTTTTCTTCTTTTTTTTCTTCTTCAGGATTATATGAATTACAGAATGGATGTTCAACATGTTCATTCACAGTCGTAACTTCCTCCTCATTATCATCAACAACATCTTCCTCGGCAACGGGTGTTTCATCATCAAAATTCGGGTATTGACCAATATTAAAATCATTACACACATGGTCTGTTTCTTCTTCTGAAACATCATCAAAATCCGTGTATTGACCAATATCAAAGTCCGGATATTGACCAAGACCAAATTTCGAATACTGACTAGTACTCACAATTTTTTCTGTTGGCTCATCATCGTCTAACTGGTCAATACGAAAACCGGAATTTGGTGCTGAAAGTTGATTGGGATTTGGATTAGAGAAAGGTTGTGGGTTTTGAGAAAAACTTAGTTGATTACTACCCGCTACTGACCCAACAATACTACTTCTAGGTTCAACAACATACAATGTAACATCATCTTGTGAAACACTAATGTAAGCAATGAATCGTTCAACATCTTCATTGTCGGTTAACAAATAAACTTTACCATTTCTCTGATAAGATAGCCTAAATCCACTTAGGGGCTCTAAATTCAATTTATTTGAAACACGTAGCATTAGAGTTTCATAAGTTAACTTTTGTAAAGACAATTTTAGTTGAAGATTCATGGGTAAAGGCATATATTGTAAAACACCATGAACATTATCCCATGACCCTCCAAAACACAAATCTATCCAAACATGATCAACATTAGATGATTTCATGGTTGTAAATTAATTTACTAAACAGATGAGCTGCGAAACTAAAACCTGTTGCCGGATTGGGAAGGATGTCGTTGGATATAGGAACGGATGTCGCCGGAGAGAGTGATAGATGGAGATGGAATGAGTTGCGATTTAGGGATTTAGTTTATGATTTCAGTGTTATATACCCAAAATTTCAGTGTTGTGATTTACAGATTCTCATTGCGATTTACGGATTATCGTTGCGATTTACAGATTCTCGTTGCGATTTACGGATTATCGTTGCGATTTACAGATTCTCGTTGCGATTTACGGATTATCGTTGCGATTTACGGATACGCGTTGCGATTTACGGATTATCGTTGCGATTTACGGATACGCATTGCGATTTACGGATACGCGTTGCGATATACGGATACACGTTGCGATTTATGTGTTCGCGTTGCGATTTTCATATTCGCGTTGCGATTTTGGAAAATCGCAATGCGAATTTGTACTATCGCATTGCGATTTTCAAGAATCGCGTTGCGATTTTGGAAACTGATTTGCGATTCTGGGGATCGCGTTGCGATTTTTATTTCGCGTTGCGATTTTGTTGGTCATTTTGGCAAATCCAAAAAAGTTGGTTAAAATCGTATATTATAACTTTTTTTTGGTCACTGAGGCGATTTTCTCTAGAAAAAATGAATAGGATTTTGATGAGGAGAAATTGGGTGAAAGTGAAGGAATTAGGCGAAAATGTGAGTGAATTTGGAGGAAAGTCATTTTGAGAATAAGATATAGGTTTAAAATTCGAAGGATTCGTAAGTGAAGTATAAGGAGGAGAATGTTGTGTTTAAAGATTAAATCGATAAAATTTAAAAATATGGATAATTAAATTTATTAAATTATTTTAAATAAAAATTAAATTGATCGAATCAATAAATACAAAGAAATAAATATTTTATCACATAAAATATAAAATTATCACATTAATAATTTCATAAATCAATTAACATGGGACGATTTGCCTGAAATCAAAATACAAATTAAATAATTTAAGTAATAAAATAATTTTATTTAGGGGTCAAAATAAAATCAATTTATAATTTAATGATCAATAAAGTAGTGTAACCTGGTATATTTTATATATTCATTCCTTCCCAACCGACGGCAATGATCCTGCAAACAACATGCATTTTAATGGAGAAAGAAGAAAAGAAACAGTAGGCACTCCATTCCGTTGCCTTTCCCAATACACAACTTCTTAAGTTTCTTTTTTGTTTTTATCTCGTTCGATTCAGTGTTTATTCTTATTATTAGACGCTGTTAAAGAAAAATCTTGAAATTTTCACCATTTCTATGATTTATTTTCATCTGCAGTTCATATTTCCCTTTCTTGTGTAATATTTCTCATTCTAAGATTCCATCTCTGTCTCTTTCCCTTTATGGGGTTTCTTCAAAATAGGAAAATACTTGTGGTGTGAAAAAGATCTGATTTTCATTTTACCAATCTTTTCTCTCTCTGAAATCCCAGATTGATTCTCTCTGTGATTAGACACCCATTCTTCCGGATGCCAAATACTTGTGGGTTTTCTTCAAGATCTGTTATTTTTAGCACTTTTGGTCATATCTAGCAAACCCCATTTTGACCATTCCACCATTTTTATTGCTCCCATGAAGAGGCCAGTTAGACCTTTGATAAGCATTTTGATGCTTGTTGCATTGGCAGCAACACTAAGCTGTCGGATTACCATCCTCCGAGGCGGTGGATTTGCTGGTTCAGCTGAATCGGGGATCCAATCCCCACCGATTCAAGTTTTTAACTCAACATTGCTCAAATTTGCAGCTGTTAATATAGGTGAAGAAAAATCCAAGCTTGAAATTGAGCAGCTGCTGGAAGGGAACTTTGCCAGTCAAGGAAGATACAGGACTTTTGCAGCATGGAGGAGGTTCAATCATCATGATGTCAAAGCTAGAAATTCTAATGGGTTGCCGGTAATGCTCAGGTCCCCTAAATTTTATCGATATTGGTTAGAGTTTAGGAGGAACTTACAGCTCTGGGCAAGAAAAAGAATGTTCCAACCTGATATTTTGATGGATTTAGTTAGATTAGTAAAGGTCCATATTGATAGCCACAATGGTTTAATGAGTTCAGATAACAAGTACAAATCTTGTGCTGTTGTGGGGAATAGTGGGATTTTATTGAATAGTGATCATGGGAAGTTGATTGATGGTCATGAGGCGGTGATTAGATTGAACAATGCTAGGACTGAGAGGTTCGAAAAGGATGTCGGATCGAAAACTAGTATTTCATTTGTAAATAGCAATATACTGCATCTTTGTGCTAGGAGGGAAGGGTGTTTTTGCCACCCTTATGGATGGAATGTTCCTATGGTTATGTACGTCTGTCAACCGGTTCATTTCATGGACTATTTGGTATGCAATTCATCTCACAAGGCACCTTTGTTGATTACAGATCCGCGTTTTGATATGCTGTGTGCTAGGATTGTGAAGTATTACTCGGTAAAACGATTTGTGGAGGAAACAGGGAAGCCATTGGGTGAATGGGGATCTACTCATGATGGCTCCATGTTTCACTATTCCTCTGGAATGCAAGCTGTTATGCTAGCCTTGGGAATTTGTGACAAAGTTAGTATATTTGGTTTTGGCAAATCAACTTCCTCGAAACATCACTATCATACTAATCAGAAGGCTGAGCTCCGATTACATGACTATGAGGCGGAATATGCATTCTATCGTGATCTGGTGAAGAATCCAAGGGCAATACCATTCATTTCGGACAAGTTCAGGTTCCCTCATGTGGTAATCTATCAATGATTTTGGCTGATTGATTTTGTTTTCCTTGTTTTCTTGGTCAAGATAAAATCGTTGTGTTCATGTTGTATCCGTAATTCTCTAGTGGATAGTCAAAAGGAAACACAGTTGCTGAAGATATCTGTTTCATATTTTGGACCTGCACTGTCAAAGATGGTTGAGGGTAATATGAAATGTAAAATTGGAAACTTAGAATATGAAGTAAGATATTGATTCTTGATTTGCTTTGGTTGAAAGTGATTTGCCTATTTTCCGTACAGTGTAGACGATTTCGTCCTCAACCGTTTGATCTAGAAGAATAGCCTTTTAACATTACATATATTTCTGTCTATGCTTGATAGTAGCCTCCTAAGGTCCCTTCATGGATGATCTAATGCTTTTAATCACGTTTCCCATGTTGTATAGTGGATAAGATTTACAAAAGCTGTTGATTGAAAATTGTCTTGCGTTGAGTCCGAGTCTAGGCATTTTTGGAGCATACCATGCATTGAGTGATGCCTTTTTGGATGCACTCGTAATCAAATTCAGACTTCTATCGTAGATTATCGTATGGCTTTCTTTAGATCGAATTTGCTAGATAAATTCTAGGGTTATATAGAAAACATGAATATGATTCGAAAATGATAGATGCCATGGTATACCTGATGATAAATGGCCAAAGTTTGGGATGTAGTCAAGACAGTCCATGGATGCTGTTGTTGAAACCAAAAGCTCACATCCCTTTACAAGTTGCATGAGTGGTAGTCCCAACATGAATAGAAACGGAGAGAAATGCATAACTGTAGTCATGATGGGGTGCTGGAATGTACGGTTGCACCACTTGAAAATTTCAAATTCTCTTATAGCTTAAATATTTTCTTTTTATCTTTTATTAATAATCAAATTTCGCATCCCGTGAATTTCTCCAACCTGTAGTTTTTGGAACTCACTCAAGAACGCAAAATTTCGTAAGCACCGGCTATGGTTGAATCGCCTTATTTTTCCAATAATGTTTTAGCATAGTGAATTTCTTAGCCATAAATTGCATCGTTAATGACTACGTCGTCAATACAAGACGGATAATCATAGTCAAAATATAAAGATGTGGACATGGTAGATGCATAATGGGCGAGGCCATGCACATCAGCATTAGCAGATCGTCGGATACATTGGATGCGAATATGGGGATGAGAATCCAACAATGCTCTTGCTTCGGTAAGATAAAATCGAACCACCGAGATATTGGCGGTATAATGCTTCAATCGTTGTGCCACAGGTTGACAGACAAGCACTATCGTGCGCAATACTACACCAAAAAAGATAATCATCGACTTGCAAGCCTCAAAATGCAATCCTAAACACAACTATGAGTTCAAAATCTTGAAAAAAACATATGAGATGATAATGTAAGCTTACATAGTTTAGTGACATAATCTTGACACATATATGATCAAGGATAATAAGAGATTATGCATTTCTTTGATCATGTCATAATATATAAGCACTTAACATATCATTTTATAGGAAACAACATCTATCGTACCTGTAAATAAGTAAAATAATCTATAACATACTTTATTTTGATGGCTCATTTATGAAATTTGAATACATGCATCATCCTAAGATCATCATGATCATGCCTTCACATCATCAGGACTGAATTCCGAATACACAACAAACCTCAACATTTCCACGATCTTTCACATCAGCAAAGACTAAAGTTTATAAGTTCTACGGATTCTATGACATGTCAATTGTCTCCAAATCATCTAATGCCTAAGGACTCAATATTACTTATAAACAATGTATATAGTATAGCCAATATACCATGGCTTTCAACAATATTTACAATGTATAAACAATGTTTTTCTGCCAACATGAAACGTAACATATCTAAATTATGGATAAAGCTTACCAAATTTACTTTGTTTGTTGTCATTCGATTGCTCTGTATGAAATTTTACAATTGCTATCAATATATATAACTATGTCTATACAATAAAAATCATAAACATATATAATACGAGATTACGAGGAATCTCGGAACACCGAATTGTCATAGACTTTCGGTTTCCCTTTTTGGTTTAGAGTTTCCACTGAATTCATTTCATCTAGCAAAAGATAAACCCATATTCTGAGAGATGATAATCATCCAATACTCTATTAAATCTAATGTTATACTCTACTTAAGGTTTTAAACCCTGAAGCCACTTAAATCTAATACTATATCTAACATAAATCCTAAAATTATCATGAATCCCTAACCTGGATGATGAAAATAAATAATGCTAATCGATAGGAAATGACTCGAGTTTTCCAATGATATGATCTGTTTAACGTTTTGAAACCTCAAACTACTTGAAACCTCAAACTACTTGAATCCCTAATTTCAAATAAGGGTTTTGGATCAATTTTCTTAGGATAAAGAACGAAGGATATTAAGTGAAAGCTAAAGGTGAGAGCTTTCCAAATGTGTATACAACTTGGGTTATGGATGATTATATTATCTTAATCCCTAAATTAAAGATTTAAAATTTCGTCAAACATTCGAGAAATGGAGCTTCTTTCCCAGGGTTGAAGATGACTCATTTTCTCCCTATTTAGCCATGAGATGAAGGAGAGCAAACCTTTTCAATTGGGTTGTCTAATTAGTGCAGATTAAAGGGTAAAAAATGATAGGATTGAACAGCATGCTTATTCATCAACTATAATAAATGGAATAATAATGGGAAATATCCTTATATTTTCCTTTTTTTACTCTAGCACTCCAACTTTCATTTAGTACATTTTAGTTCTTATTCAAATCCAAAATTAGATCATATTCGATTCAAATTAATTTCTTTTTACCAAATTCATTTTCAAAGACTCGCATTAATAATTTAATCATTGAAAAAACTATTTTCCGTTATTGGACGTTGGAAAAAATTTAGACCAAATTTCGGGATATTACAAATAATGCAACCAATCCTTCCATTTTCTCTTCTTTTCACTTAGACACATAAAATTCTAATGTTCAGAACTTATCCTCTAAACTTTTGATCTTTACAATTTAGTTCTTAATCAAAACTGAACCAAATCATCATTTAACCGAACTAAATTCTTTTCATTTGACACATAACCAAATGCTCAAAATAGTCAAATAATAATCTTCCGAACATTATTTTCCGACAATTAGATGTCAAAAAAAAAATCAACCTATTTTTAAGGTGTTACAGATCCACTTGAACGATCTCTTTACATTTCTCATCTTTCCACACCTTCAACAAAACTGCGATCTTTTTCCAACCTTCTCTACTCATAAATGAAGTGCAAGAAACGTACACATGATTAAGTGAACAAAGATTTGAAGCCAAGAGATATAAAAACTAGAAAACAATGCAACATCCAGTCCTATTAAAGATTACCAGTTAGCAATGAAGCAGATAAATTTCCCCCCTTTGAGAAAATAACCCAAATCTCTTTTGAAGAGAAGAAAATTCATCTACTTCACCACTTGAGGTAACCCTTTGTTTTGTCTGTTTAATTTATTTCCCAACTATGGCTAACCACAAAGAGTCTTAAAAAGTTGTTGAGGCTCAACCCCTACTCAGCAAGGGCTCCATACCAAAACTCCCCCCATGTTTTTTGTTTGAGAAATGTTTTGTTATAGAGCGAAAGCTTAATTGGGGTAACCCTAAGAAAATTTTAAAGCTATTAGATCTCCCTAAATCTCAAAAGAAGAGGGTTACTTGAGTCATAAGTCTAGTGAACGAATTCGCCTTCGGAACCGGTGATGCATTCCCTGTCATCTTCGAATCCTTCGAGAGAAGGATGAGGGGAGTGGCCTTTGCCGAACGACCGGATGTGATCTTTCAAAGACCTCTTGTGCTTAAAATCGGAGCCGCAAGTGCAATACCATAGCTTGCCACAGTTCTTTTCGTGCGTTCGCCAATCGCCTTTGACGGCGAACGTCTTGCCACATTTCCTACACATGAAGGGCTTGGAACCATGTTTCCTTTTGTAGTGAGTTTGGAGTGTTCGAAAGTCTTTCAATGGCTTGGCTCGGGGATGGTTGATGTTGTTTTTGCAGCCCTGGGCACAGCAATAGCATGGCAGCCTCAGCATTGCTGCCGGTTGTGTTCCTTTAAGTGAATCTGGCCCTTTCCTGTATTCAGATCCGTGCCCCCACATATGCATCTATTAATGCAAAAAGATATCATGCTTTTGCAAAAGTAAACACTTGGCTCTTTGTAATGGTCTTACAAGGATCATTAAGCTATGTTATTTTAACTAAAAAGTTGAACAATTAAAGTGATTAAAGAGTGAAAATTAACCACTAAAGATAAGAATCCAAAGCTCTAAAGTTAAGTAAAAATATTAAAGACTGTTTTGCTACCCCGGTTTGCTTTCTTCCCTCACAGCTTTCCACCCAAAAGGGGAGCAATCAAGGACGAAAAGTCAAAAGAAATTGGATGTGGATTAGTTAAAATAAGATGAAAGGATCAATGAAGCAGGCTAAAGGACAGTTTTTTTTTTTGGGTTTAACGACTGGTTTTTGATCTATTGATGACTAAAATAGATTGAGTCTTGCATAGACTTATTATGGCACGATACTCCTAACCAATTTTTTTTCATTGACAACGTCATGATTTAAACCTCTAATTTTGTTTAAAAGATCTAGTGTTTTATCCAACTTAGATAACTATTAGTGTAAATTAAAAATTATTGCCTCAATTATAGTTTAAAACAGTAAAATTGGAGCCTGCAAACGATTTACCAATCTGCTTTCCCATTTCTTATGAAATCACTTCATGGGTTAATATGAAAATTATGGTCAAGTTCCATTGCATGTATTAGCTCCTTCGAATTATATCGAAAGTACGGATTTAAATAACCGTCATTATATAGAGGTAAAGGAGGTGTTTGAAACCGTTATTTGACAACTAAGATACCAACAATGGCTGTAATATCACGTGCTATTACCGCAATCGTAATAAATACAATACAATCGAAAACGTGACCTTAACTACAATTTAAATAGCTGATCCAAAATATTGAGGGTGGTGTGTGTATGAAAATGGTTAAAACTATTGTCTATTTTTTTATCATTATATTTTAAAGAATTCTTTCTTCGTTTTGCTCTTTTGACCTACATGAACATGCCGATCCTCAATCAATATAACGAATTCAATCTATTTTTTTTCCAGTTTTCATCGATGTTGCATTACTTTATAACTTTTTTGCATCAAAGAAAACCCAGTAAAAAAATGGATTTATACGGTAATATGATTCATAGAAATGAAAAGAAGAAGAAAAGCAATGGACTGACCTGCAAGTTATTGTACCTATTGAATGTCTTGCTACAAATTGAGCAAGAAAACTGCATGGGCCCGACGAGGATCTGTGTTGGACTTGGGATCCAAAACCTATTCATAGTTTTGAAAGAGCATCCATTGAAGGTTTTCTTCATGGATTCTTTCTCCATCAAAACCTTGGTGTCTGCAATGGATTGTTTCTCCATCAAAACCTTGTTGTCTGCAACTGGAATATTACTCTCTCCTCCTCCTGCTGCAGCAGCAGCGCAACTGTTAGGCAACCCAATGTCTAGAGAAACTGTAACTTTCCCAATACTCGTCTTCTTCTGCAAATCTTCCTCTTTCAATGGTTTGTTCTCAGTAAACCTGCTCAAAAGAGGTAGGCATTCAATAGTTTCCTGCTGATGCTGCAGCTTCAAGATATCCATGGGGCTTGTGAACTGAACTAGCTGAGTCACACAAGAGGAAGAAGAAGATGATGACGATGATGATGATGAAGATGGCTTGAGCCATTCAATGAAAGGAGCTTGAAAACACAAGCTTTGGTTCTCTGCTATATGGTAGCTCCTAAAACCCATGTTCACCAGAGCTTGGGATTGTTTTACCAGAGTTGTTTATGTGGGAAAAGCCTCGCAAATATAGCAGCTGATTTATGAGAGTTGGTTTGGTTTGTCTTCAAGGGGAAGAACTAGTCCTCTTTTTCCATTCAATTCCTCTGGCCATCTTTATATTTTATTTTTTGTCCACCTTTTGTAATTTGTTTGATTTAGGGTAGAGTATGATAGATTGAATTGAATGAGAGATTAGTGGTGGGGTTAAAGACAATGACATGCATAAATAATCAGACTCCGTTCAATGAAGAGAACCCTATAATACTTTATGCTATTATCTAAATACATATATCATAATAATAATATTGTAATATCATCAATAATCTCTAGAGTAGTTGATTAAAAGCTCTTATTTGACACCATTCTTCTTTTAGGTTGTAGGTTTACTACCTATTAGGATCAAAACTTCTCCTTTCCCACTCCCAGGTAGGAATTTTTCAAAAAACAATACTGTAAAATTGAACTCATCAGCCTCAATAGTTAAAGGGAATGTTATTCTCCTTTAAAGTCTAAAGTTCAAGTAACTGCATAGACTGTGTGTTATCAATGGATAAAAAAGATTATGAACATATACTATATTATAATCGTATTGTATTATTTTAAAAGATAATATAATAAAATTAAAATTACAGGAATAGACGAGGAAACAAATAAATATAGTTTACCCTTTTTTTCATTCGTAAAAAAGCTTATTTTTCCCGGTCTAATGTATGATGAAATTTGACCAATACCAAACATTTCTCATACAATGTATATATTGGCATTTGAAATAGATGACCTCCAAAAGGGAATTATAAAAAGTAAGAAAACGTCTTTCTGGAAAAGAATGATAAAAATTAATATAATATAATTGCATTTCAGTTTATGTCCACAAAGGATAATAATTTAGTTGTATTGATATTTGATGTGTCGGTATATAATTTTATACATATTTAATATATCATATAATAATATGTTATCGTAAAAACTTCAAAACTAAATTATTTTATATAAATTCTTAATAATGTACTGTTTTTGATTAATTAACGATACATAAATTATAAATTAACAAAACATCAAATATTTACTTTATAAATAAATTAAAATGTTATATATGTCACACATCCCGTAGACGTAGCTATTCAAATCCAGAACTTTAAGTAAAAAAACGCTCTTTTAACCTAAGACGACTCCATGGATTCATATCCATGAATTTTATTGACAATGATTTCGAAGATATATGAACTTGCAAATTGGCATTGATTAAACTAGTTCTGGATTTACATTTATTACCAGCTTAATCATTTTTGGAAAAAATAAGAAAACAAAGCTTGTATAAGTATAACACAATAACATTAAAGGAACTTATATCCGACAAAATGAAGGTGTTTTAAAGGTTTGTTTGGTATCTTTGAATGATTCCCTATCATTCTCACTTTGCAAAATTGCCCCCACTGTCCCCTCCGTTTATAAATTCAAACCGCAACCTCTTTCTAATAATTGACAATATATAGACCGGAAATCTCTATTCATTTGAATTAAGGGCAAACTAAATGTTTAGTATATGAACTGTCATTTTTATTCTTTTTTGATCACTAACTATTTTTTTAAATCATATCTAACCACTGGCGGAGGCAGCATATGACACCCAAAAAACTTTTTGAAAACAAAATTCTTTTTTAAAAATAAAACTAATATATTTTTAAAAGAATATTAGACCTTTGAACATAAATTGACACCTATTATTCATTTTCACCCATCTAAAAAGAAATTTTCTAAATTTGAACATGAAAATATTTTTTTCTTTAAATTTGACACCCCAAAATTATTTTTTTAGCTCCGCCCTTATATCTAACTTTTAGTTTTGGTTTTATTTTCTTCGCTCGCCGTTAAAAAATCAATGGTAATGTTGACGTGTCACCATAAAGTAATATCACATCATCGCTAAAAAAGTGCCACCTCAACAATTCCGTTAATTTTTTTACGGCGGATGACTAAAATGAAATCAAAATATAAAGTTAGATATTATTTAAAAAAAATAGTAAGATGACCAAAACATAACAAAAGTGATAATTAAAATAATAAACATATAATTTACCCTTGAATTAATTCGTAAGCGATATGTCATAACTAATTAAATTAATTTATCCCACAAAATTATTATTTTTCCTCCACACAAAGATGCGTTCCTCATCCTTATTATTTGTACTCGAGAAGAGTTCCCCCCCCCCCTAAATAAAGTCAGATTAGATTGTAGTTAGACTCGAATTTTGATTCTTTCTATTAAAGTTTTAATTTTAATTGATAATATTTAAATGATATTTTGATTAATTTTATTGATTAGAGATTTAATATATATAATGTAACAAATATTTATTAATGGTGAGGAATATTAGTGAAAAGGATTTATTATTATTATTTTGTTACGAAAAATATATCCTTTTGGTGTTTTCGTGTAAGAAAATTTTAAAAGTTTTCAGTGTAAAAGTTACATGTACATAGGATAGCTATGCAATTGTGAAAGTAGATTAAAAAAATCAGTCCACATTAAATATTGTCTTTTGTATATACGATTGATTTTTATTATTATATCTTCATCTCAGATTTATTATATTTCTTCCAACACTTACAAAGATGTTAATGTCCAACCAAAAAAAAAATTCATGTTGGTTCTATGTGAGATAAACTAGAGAGTTAATTGCATCGCATGTCGTCAAATTATGATCCTCATTTTAAATTGATTTCTAAATTTTTAAATGTTCTAATTTTATACCAAACTATGGCTCTCATTCTAAAGTAGTCCTTAAACTTTTGAACATTTTAATTTCATCCCAAACTATATGTATATACTAATTACAACCCTTGTTAATAAAGGTCAAGTTATATTATTATATGTTTCAAAAAAACAAGATTTAGGTAAAACTATTGTTGAAACTAATTACACATTTAGATGAATTTGGGGATGAAATTAAAGTATTCAAAAGTTTGAGGACCAATTTATAAAGAGAGTCAAAATTTAGGGATGAAATTAGAATGTTCAAAAGTTTAAGAACTGATTTAGAATGAGATTCATAATTTGATGATATAATTGAAATATTAAAAAATTCAAGGACCAGTTTAAAATAAGGATTATAGTTTGAGGACATATACCGCAATTAACTCTAAATTATAGATCACATCAAATTAAATATTTTTATTTTTTTAATATTTAAAATTTAAATATACATTATTATAGTAAAATTAAAGAAATGACCATCCAGCTCAGTTGATAGAGCACAAGGTTCTTAACCTTGAGGTCGTGGGATCGAGTCCCACGGAGGGCATTTCATAATTCGGAGGTCTCTTACGGAAGCTGCTTTCAACCTGGTGTTAGAGGTAGCCTACTATCTTACCTCCCCTTACCCCATATATATGGGAAAAAGGACAGCCATTTATTATAGTAAAATTAAAATTCATTATTTATAAATTTATTTTAAATCTAAATATATAAATTTATTATACACATAAATAATATAAAGTCAGAAGATAAATATTTAGGATTAATATATATTTGTGTTAGATCCTATTAATAGGTAGTAATTATACAATATTATAGGAATGGCCGCTATCTGTTCCCATTAATAAGAACAATAGTAATAATGGTCAAATGTACTATTGTAAAACCTATCAAGTGGTTAAAAAACACAATGTTATTTGTTATTTTTTTAATGAGATAATTTTAAAATTAAAAATAAATAATTTTAATAGAATGGTGGGCTTTGAGGTCGGTGCCGGACTCAATTATTCAAACACACCCTGGTTAAGGATTCAAAATTGCAATCTTTTTGTACAAAGTATAAAAACGTTAGCATTTACGAAGTGTTTGTGTTTAAAATATTTAGAGAAATGAGAAGAAAGAAAAGGTTGGTTGGACCCCATTTTCCCCAATCATGCAATAAGAGTCCTCTAGGCATTTTGGAGGTAAGCTTAAGCCTTTTCTCCATCAATCTTATGTTCAATTTGCCGACAAGATTTTGTGAGCCGATTTTCTCGGGATTAATCAATTTTAACCCTTTCCTTTTGTATTTGTTTGCATGCTTTTTTATTCCCTTTCAAACATCTTTCTCTCTTTTTTAAACTTTCATACCTTCTTTTATTTCGACAGTTAATTTTAATTATCTATTTATACTCATTCAATAATCTTAAATCTATGTAAAATTAAAAAAGTTTTACAATGATATATGATCGTTGAATAAGTGAAAATAGATGATTGAGGTTAACAATAAGAAATAAGAATATATTTACTGAAAAAGAAGAAGAAGATAATCTCAGTTATCTATTTTCACCCATTCAATAATATTGAATCAATGTGAAACTAAAAAATTTTACATTATGTAAGTGGATCCTAACAATCTAACTATATATATTATGTGACTTTACTTTTTTTTTTACATAAATATGGTAATTAACGACTTAGTTAGGGATTATCTTTTTCATACTTAAAATGAAAATGAAAATGAAAATGTATTCTTTATTTGGGGATTATATGAGCTGGTATCAATATCAGACGAAAGAGTAACGATACTCTAGATAGAGATATTGATACTGAGTAATATTCCCCAAACTTAGAGATTTATTTTGGTATCGATACCCTTAAAGGATAATATTGATGCTGATGTAGAAGTGTCGATAGTAGAGCTTTGTAAATAAAACTTTGAACCTATTTTTTTTATCAATATTAAGGGTAAGTGTCGGTTTCTTAGGGCCGACATTGATAACTTAGGGGTAGGTATTGATACTATTAAAGAAAAAGAGTAAAGAACCTTGCTTTGAGGAAAGACTCAAGAGATGTCTTAATCAACTACTAAAATCTTGAAAGTGAAACATTGATTAAATGTTTATGATTAAGCATAAGAACATTTGTCACACCCCAAAATTGAAGTTAAATTATAGAGAAAATCGCCTCAGTGACCAAAAAAAAGTTATAATATACGATTTTAACCAACTTTTTTTGGATTTGCCAAAATGACCAACAAAATCGCAACGCGAAATAAAAATTGCAACGCGATCCCCAGAATCGCAAATCAGTTTCCAAAATCGCAACGCGATTCTTGAAAATCGCAATGCGATAGTAC